GTCCAGTATAGTAGCTTAGCCTCACTGAGGGAGTCAGCACCATGAGAAGTTCTCTTAATGACCGTTAAACAAACTCGCCCTTATGGTCGCCACATGTTTAGTTAAAAGGACTACAAACTGTTTTGTTGCCGGTCGAGTTATTGTACTAGATGTAACCACTTCTATTTCTCGTATAAATTGATGTAATTTTTACAAATATATTAGATATGAACACAATATTTCATAGAAATCTGACTGCTTTATTCTCTTCATTTTATACTTAGCCACTACGAACGACAAAGCCTACTTAGGCACTGAAGGGCAATGGTGGGACAAGTCAGGCGATGTTTACACTGTGGCTGTTGAAACTACAGATCACTGATAACCCGTGTTATTTGCTATACAAGCGGTTGGCTTAATAAACAACGCTTCTGATGCGTGTGAACATGCCCTCGTCAACCGAATTAATGACGATATCGATAGAAAAAAATCTGCAATTGTAAAATTCGGATTTAACGCTCCTAATTGTCCTCATTCGGTGTGAAATACCATACCATTTTATTGCTCTTGGGTCTCCAGTACCAGATTCCATATACTTTTGTCCATCTTCCTTTGATACACAATTGTTGCTACCTTCGGAGGTTGCAGTTTGAGATGTAGAAATGAACTGCAATGGATACATTTTTCATGCACTTCATTTTCTGAAAACACCCAATGGAAATGTGAGTGTACCATATAAATTACTTTTGACCACACAAATTAGTAGTTCTGCCTTATATTTCTGCCTATAACGTAGGTACTGTGCCTCAATAATATTTGGCTACAAAATGATCAACAATTTAATTGATTGCCCCATGATCCTGGAACAGATCAAGTTTCGTACTCCAACGTTTGCATCTCGCAATCATAAAATATTCGGGCTTCCTAGAGCTAGGACAAACATTCTTCTCAAGTCACCGTTATATGTAATGTGCTCTAACTTAAACAGAATCGGATGTTACTGTGATATATTTACGACAAATGTTAATTACCTGCTAAAGGCAGCTAAGGCTTATTCGGACCAATAGCTCATGTTACAAATTTATACCTGTGTTGCATTTGTTGTTTTCTTTTCGCTTTTTTCGCTTTTTTTTGCTTTTGTATTACGTTTATAAATTGTCCTATAAATGGGAAACTGTTGGACAATAAAGCTATTATTATTATTATTATATCATTAAAACAGAGACTTCTGTATGCCTAAGCTTAGAGTGAGTACGTGGATAGCTTTTTGGTAATGTGGTAGACAAGATGTCGGTTATCCAACCGGAACAAACATTGTAAGAAACTGTAGGTGCGTAAACTATTATTCGAAAATAACGGTACTGTACAAAGAATATGAATATTAGACCCAAACGGATGTCCACTCATAGATATTAATTATTACTAGAATTGAAGAAGCGTGACGCTTTTCTCCTATACAAAAATGTCCTGCGAATTTTGAGTGTAGGATCTATGGAAGATTTCTAAAAAGTTATTTAGAAAAATTATAAACAAATAGCCCTTTCTGTTCGTGAAATATGCCGCTCTCTGTAACGACGTGACAACACACATACACTTTTATAAATGGAACTCCCTGTATATTGTAGTACGTTCTAAAAACCCTTTCATAAGAAGGAGCTTAAGCTGCGGGATGCTTTGACGGAAAAAAGGAAAAAACAGCAAACTTTGAGTCAAAATGAACTTCTTATTCCACAGTTTCTCGGCACTTCAACTTTTTCTCAAAAAATTCATATATGCATGTTTTTATGGTTTTGAGTTAGGTACTTTATAAACTTGACTTTGGTATTAAATACGCAGGTGGTCAAATTACTGAATTCCCAAAAAGTACAAGGCAAAATAAACTAATAATTCGTGAAAAGGGAGAACAGTTTGATAGATGGAGGTAATTTCAATCAAGGCTGGTTAGTCTCAGCTAGAATCCTCCATTTCTATGTAGTATTTACTTATTTTGAACTGTTTTCTTGGAGAGGATGAAATTAGCTCAAAAATTGAGTAATTCAACCCCCAAAAACCAAACCAAAACTTATAAAAAGGATAGCTCAAAACTGTTCAGATATACAAGTTCAATTTGGATATTCTGAGGAAGAGCAAACTTTGATTTTCATTGATTAAAATGTATAATACGCTTACATGTCGAGAAACTATGGTATATGAAACTCAGTTTGTCACTCTTTTTGCAAAAGTGACTGAGAAGCTAACAGAGGTCAACTATCCCGTAGCTACAGAAGTAGTGATCCAAGCCCACGAAACTTATTTCTCCAAAGAGGCCAATCAGAATATTATAATATACTAGAATATACAAAGAATCTCATTTAAGAAAATGTATGTGTATCACCTAGTTATAAATAACCTTGTAGGGAGAGGAATTCTTTCTAAGTGAAGAGCGCTTAGTTACTCATAATTTTTGTAAATAACTTCACAATGCAACTCGAAATTTTGAAGTTCACCTGCTTCAGAGTGTTTCTAAAGTAGAGCAGATTTCAGTTTTTTACCAGAGAATTTTATTATTTTCAAATGAAACAATTTATAGAAGAATGCTCTAGATACTTATGGCGGTAATCTGGAAAGCTTGGAGCAGATGAAGGTAGTAAATGTCAGAACGTGAAGAATATACTATCTGTCTTTTTCCATCTTTTTTTGTCAACTTTAACCCCTAGAGGCCGCCTAGCCGGAGCAAAATTGGACATTGAAAAAATAGGTTATGTGTTTGGGAAATAGCCTAGTTGTTTCTCCTTTGTCAGATACACTCAGTAAGAAAGAGAATAGAATGATTTCACTTGAGGGAAACCTAATTACAGTTACACATAAGAAAGAGAAGTCGCGATTAAATTTTCAAGTGAAAACTTTTGCTATATTGCTGGATTTTTATGAGAAGGTGTTTAATGCCTTTTTCTATGAGGTAAAGAAGGCAGAGTGACGTGAGCGTTATTAGTTATTGCAATAGACGATCACATTCTTGTTGGTAAACAGTTTTCTCAAGCGCTTGAAGAAATTCCAAGGTATGTGGTTCCAGTATCTACTGGATATACCGTTCCGCCGGCTCACCTTCTTTACTGAAAACTGGTGACTAAGCATAATATCCAATGGCGCATTAAGACATAACCCCTTTAGTATGGCGCACGTGATGTTTAACTGCAAACTTTATATTACGTCTTACTCCAGGACGCCGTCTAGCTGTTGCTCGTCATTATACAACAACTAAACAGGACCGATACCCATATCATACCAGCATGCCCCGACGACGTAACGAATTATATGGCATCGGAGACACCCAAGGCATTATTAGGGAAATACAGCATTACCGCAAACATCAATCACGACTTTATCTTGCCAATGTCTAACTGGTCTAATTGCATATAAAATTTCATTTAAATCAAACCATTTTCACTGGGTGTTCTTTTTCTTTGCCTCTGGGTATATATAGTCAGAATATTTTTGTGGTTATTGCATATGCGGTTCTTCCTAGATATAAGAAAATTGAGTTAAAACCCCGATAAGCTACTAAGATAATACCCACATGGCTAATTGAGTCTAGGTCCCAGTACCGGGCCTTAACGTCAGAAGTGTATTTTTAAGTATTAATTCAGTACTGTGAGAAAATCATTGGCGGCTGACTATTTTAGCATGAGAAAATGGAAAACTAAGTTCCTGAAAAGCAACCTGGTGTATTAATCGTTCGTATATCTACCCCTGTTTTATTCATACCCGCTTCCTGTGCTAAAGATAGATATTTCTCACGACTTCGAAGGAAGTTACAGCCCAGTGATTCCGTGACACAGAAAGCACATTAGGTGTTGCGGTATGTGAATTGGAAATATCTATAAGACGCTCCTAGGCATTACCACTGTTCAAAGAAACATAATTCCTTTCTACATTTGCTACTAGCTCTAATACGCACAGGGCAGGCCAATAATGTGTGAGTGCAGCACTGCTTATAGTCGGAAGCTTCCATAAATATCACATAGTAAGTGAGAATGTTTTAGAAATATTTTACGACATTGGAGAGTGGCAACTATTTAAGCGCCACTATGCGGACAGCTCGTAGTATTAATGTCTGTAGGTAACATAAGATGTATCTTGATTTAAAAAAGCTGTGAGAAAAATGTATTTAGATATATGTGAACAGCTGGTCGTGTACTGGCGCGCCCCATGCTGTATACGTGCATTTTCAGTAATATCATGTAAGAGTTATATATCTATTTTTTATTATAAAACCCAAGAAAACGAAAGAATGTAACACCATACAAACGTATTCATGTCAAATCTGTGATTCTAAGTTTTGCATATATATTGTGTAATTTTATCTCTATGGGGCGAGTGGAATAACACTCTGTAGTGAACTCCCCCTTTTTTGGGCACCTCTTTTATTTCAGCATTTATTCTGTTGTATGTATGGCAGTAGGTAGTAAAAGAATGTTGATATTTCGTACAAGAAAAAAAAAACTTAATGTAACTTTTGAAACGCATGCTAAGGTTGTTTGAGATCCATCCACATTCTTTAATCTAACCAAATGAACTTGTTAATAAAAATTTGTTGTTTATGGAAAATGTTTGGTTTTGTAGTGATCGAAGCTGTGTTGAGACTTAGAAACAAGATCAATTTGAAAGGCAAAGACATGGACAAAGTGATATTGTAGATCAGGCTATTTATTAGGGATCGACCGATACCGATATATGATATCGGCATATCGGCGATATCGGCCTTTTTGACCGATATGCGTATCGGCCGATATGGCCGCCCATATAGGTTGGGCGATATAAAATAAGTTAACATTGTTGAATGAAACAGACAAAAGCTAGAAAAACATTCCTTTATTTAAATGAATTAAAGTAACATTTGTCTCTAACATATATCTATAAAAAACGAAACGTAACAGCCATATTCAGTCTTAATTTTTTTGAAAATTTAAGGAAAATGAGTAAATAAAAATTAAACATGAAAAATACTGCTTGATCTGTAAGAAAGGTGTAAATTAAGATAATTAATACTTAAAATTTAACTTAGGCAAATTGTGGTGTACAAATAATAAAGCTTCCGCCCTATCAGGTGTTAACCTGCTTCGTCTGGCATCATAAATGTTGCCTGCCTCAGAAAAAACTTGTTCACTCGCTACACTCCCAGCTGGTGCCGACAAATATATGGCAGCTAGTGGGAAAAGTTTGGCAAATCGCAATTTATTATCATTCCACCACTGAACAGGATTGTCAAATCTTGCAATCACTGGTAGATTGGTATACGCATTAATTTCCTTGTCTAGTGTATTTACTGATTGGTGCTCCCGTTTTCGTTGGGAATTTCCAGATGTCCCTTCACCTGCAAAATGTTCATACGTCTGCCAGAACATATCTCGTGAGGTATTCGGTGTTTCTGCAGTTGTCTCCTGTATTAGTATTTTTAATGGAATATCATCATCCTCACTTGCACTGTCAGCAACAGTTGTGCTTCCTCCCTCTAACTCACGAATTTTGTTTTTGAGTACTTCATACATCTGTTGCTTTTCTGTGCTGTCAAAAAAATTATTTTTGAAGCGTGGATCCAACAGAGTGGCCACTGTAAAGTATTCGTCACTAAAAATGTGGCTAAACCGCTTTTCTAAATTTTTTTTAAGGGCGCCTCTAAGTGCCTCTACACCACAAAATATATCTTTAGAGTTGTTGCTTAAATAAGAAATCAAAGTTTTTACCAAAGGAATTACTTCTGATAAACAGCATTCTCTTTTGCTTGCAAGATTTGTCAACTCTTCAAACGGTTGTAAAAGATTTATAACATCTTTTGTCAGCTCCCATTGCTGATAAGTTAAATCAGATAAATCTGGATAGTCCAGGATGTACATACTTATAGCTGTTTTTTGCTCAAGTAATCATTCCAGCATGTAGTATGTCGAGTTCCATCTTGTTGTTATATCTTGGATAAGTCTTTTTGACGGGAGATTCATCTGATCTTGTATTTTCTTCAGTTTATCACAGGCAGTCGAAGAGTGATTAAAGTGAGATACAATTCTTCTTGCTTTGATGATAATATCTGTCACTGATCTTTGGCAATCAAGAGAATCTTTTATTGTCAATTGTAAAGTGTGAACAAAACAACTCTGGTATTTTATTCGTGCATCAGACAATCCTTTTTTCATATTTGCAGCGTTATCAGCAAGAATTATATGAATTTGGTCTTTGTCTAGCTTCCATTGCTCTAGTAAAAGTTTAACCATCTCGGATATATTGTCAGCTGTATGACTGCCTGGGAAACTCCTACATGCCAGAACGAATGATTCTCTATGGGTAGATACGTATTTATTCCAAAAATGAGCAGTCAAAGAAATAAAGGAGAAGTTGTTGTATTGGCAGGTCCATATATCTGATGTTAGTGACATTTTTCCAATCATTTGATCTATTTTCTTCTGCACGCACGCTTTGCATCGTTGAAATATATCAGGAATAACAGTTTCACGAAAATACTTATCTGATGGTATTACATAAGAAGGGAATGCTTTTTTCAGTAAACGAGTGAAACCAATATCAGTAGTAAGGGAAAATGGTTGGTTGTCCACTGCTATCATCTCGCCAATCAGGTAATGGATTTCCTTTGACTTTGCTGAATTCAAGTCCCATTTATGAAGTCTCTCCAAAGCTGCTGAAATGGTTGATGGGATGGCCTATCGCTGTGATGCTTCGATGTAAATGGTTCAGAGTTTCTTCTTTCCTGCATCTTCGAACTTTCCAGATGCACAAGTCCAAATATAAAATTTGATCTTTGTTATAATTGGATAATTATTTTGGATATAAAATTTAGAAGCAACACCTAACTATGAAAAACATTACTCTTGAATAGACATACACATAAGTTTTGAACGAAAACTAGAAAACATTCTTACCTGGGTTATTTAAGCATTTTTGAATACTCGTCTTTGTGATGTTTAGATAAATGATACTTCATATATGAAGTGTTGGCTGTTTTCCCTCTGCCGCCCAAGGAAACCTGTTTTTTACATATCACGCATATAACACTATCAGATTCGTTAGTCCTCCGATCGGAAACTCTATCAAAATATTTCCAAAGAACGCTACTTTTCCTCATGTTTGACATTTTTTGTAGAGAGCTAAACCTGAAGCAACCAACGCCGTTCAAGCAAATATTATGACTTGCATAGACGTGCTTGTCGCCTACGTGCTTCGCCCAAGGTTTCCGAACCGAAACACACCCGATGGTGCGCGGAAACAGACGAACGGCCGATAGGCCGATATGGCCGATATATCGGCCTGCGACATATCGGTATCGATGAAAATCCTATATCGGTCGATCCCTACTATTTATCGCTCCATTAGAAGAGTTTTTGTAGGTTTTTCTCTTCGGTGCCCAAATTCATAATACGCGTATATGCCAAGTGTTTTTAAGATACGTACATTTAATACAAGCTTTATGTTACCTCCAACGCATGTTTTCCTCGGTGCATCTAATCCGTTAAATTACTAGTCAATTTGCTGAGTAGCCGCTGGTTGCGATCAAGGTCCAGAAATACTTTTTGTTCCGGATATTCACTACGTCGCTTTCACTCAGCCCAGTGCGATGGGAGCACTGAATTTTCATTTTTATGTGTCATCTGAACAATGAACTTGAAACATTATGTGTGGTTAATGTAGTACTTTAAACTTATCCTGTGGTCTTCGTGTCGATAGAAGTCCATGATCTTCTGGCCGCATGGACTCACATATGCATTAAATACTTTTTACTTACATTTCGGCCACCACTATTACATCAGAAGTATTTAATCATGTGGTTTCATTTGGTCGAAAGATGCAGTCCTATTATTTGTTGATACTATGTCGAATATCCGTTAGTCACAGATGCAAGAATGGTCCAAATCCGAGCTTCAGAAGTATTACGGCTGAGTCTTCATCATCCACATGATACAGATAAAATATAATACAAATGAAAATCAACACAAAAATAATAACGCATCTGAAAATTCATACTTTCTAGACTACATTGTGAAATGTACGTTTTAAAAATATTTTTTTACTTATTTTTTTAATTGAATAATAATCACTGATTTGTTGTAATTTAACTTGTCATTTGTTATAAAATATGTCGCAGTTGTAGTACTTTTTGAACTTTGCTGTAATATGTTTCTACTACTACTACTACTATTTCTATATCTTGATTTCTATACTGGTGATAAACATTGCTATTTGAAATAGGCTACTTATAGGTACACCTTAAACATAAGATTACACATCTCAGAAGTGCATTAAACAATAATTTTCTGCGACTTAAAAACCTCTCTGTATGAAGCAAGTAGCTTCATTTCCAAAATTAATCTAACAATTCTATTATGAATCACATTTTAACATGATCTTCCCTATACCATAGGATTGTAAGATTTGTGGCTATATACCGCTGCATACTAGAAGTTCACGATTACAAAATATGTGCCCAATATTGACTAAAACACCCGAACAGGGTACAAATTGACAAATCATTCCCATGAATTGCCTGCACTCCATGCTTTGACGATAATACATAAGCGCTATTGAACTTCATTCTGGTTGCAATTATAATGAGATACGGAATAAGACACGTTTTCCAATTTAAAACTTACCATTTTATATATATATATACACATATACCACCTTTAAGCTAACTTTTATTTTTATAAATTGCTCTGTTATTGGCTTAAGCTGTTGGTCAATAAAGGCTTATTATTATTATTATTATTATTCAGCGCATACTAGCTGGATTAGAGCACCGAGCTTAAAGAAATATTCTAGAGGATCGAAAGTATGAGTCTTCGTCTATAAATAGCTCACATGACTTCCGGCTATTTCTAAATTAGCAGATCTCCAAAAGCAAAAGTCAACGGGTATTTTCCATTTACATCAAAACACGGAGTTAAATTCCACTCACATTCCGACTGATATCCCTTCAAAATCTGAATCTAATTATTATCGAGCTCGACGGGTCAAAAACATTGCTTGTATTTCATCTCTTCAGTAAAGCCAGAGGAGCCTGTCATTTTCAAGGTGAACCAACTTTACAAGTCAGTAAACTCAAACTCGTTATAGACCAGTAAACAAAGAGGCCCTACCCTGTCGAAAGATAAAAAAGCATATAGCGGTAGGATGAATCACTGAAAATAAATTATGATAGGACTGTTAGCTTCATATGGCTGAAAAGGTATTGTAGCTAAGACGTTTCATTATTTGATGGAATTCTGAAAAATAACTGTTGTGGTTGATACAAAGTCCCACATCGCAAGTTGAGCGCTTCCATAAGGTGCGTGCGACTACAGGGCGTTCCAGGCTTAAATCTTCAATGTCAAATATCTCAGGCACCACTAAATCGATTTTAATGAAATTCTGCATAATACAGCCGCCTAACAGTAACGTAAATCAGATCAAAAAGCTAGGGCCAGACAGCTTTTTTAGTTTTTTATGTTTCAACAAAATCAACACCTTTCAAGCTAAATATTGAAATGTTTGACTGTCTACAATACAGCCAATGGGTGGTATTTATTGATTAGCAAAATATTGATTGCGTCTTTTTTGGTTTTGTAATTAAAAAATGTCATGTATTCAAATATCTTATTTCTATCAGACTACGTGACACAAAACTCCAAATTTCGGAAGTTACCAACTTGATTTCATCAACATTTTGCAAAAAATGCATTGAATTGGGGGATATTTTGAGTACCCAAAATTCCATGACTAGGTTCTGTTTTTTTTTCATTTATTTGCATTGTATTGAGCAGCACTCTTGTACGCTAAAGTTATTACAATTTCGCAACAAAAGAATAATAAATGACATAATTAAAGGACGAAAATAATGTTGTTCACTTTTTTTGGTCATTTTTTTAATGATTCCATTCTACCAACTCTTCTACAACAAGATAAGTTCTGATTTAAAGTGACACGCCATGCAAATGCACCAAATCTGACTCTCCATACCAACTTCGAATTATGACAAAAATGCAAAAAGCATACTATACAGGCCCCAGACTCAGCACTATCAGCGGTTACGTTTAGGTAATCTTATGAAAAATCTCGATTTAGTTAAATAGTGCACACATAGGTACATCACACAATAATGTTTTATTGGGATAGCTTTAGAGAACTTCTATACAAAGATGAGTGGATATCCTTGCAGCTTAAAAAAATGTTTTATCAAAAATGTAGGGCATGTATAAAAAGTTAATAGTGTTCATAATATTAATAAACTTAATATAAACTGTACTTCAACATCAATCCTGTCCTGTTTTAGTCTCCAAGCCATAAATGCCATATTTTAGTATTTGTTAACTGCAATTAAAAGAAAATAACAGCACAGTTCGAATAACAATGATGCCACTTAAAAACTAAGAATAGCCAACCAACATTTTAGAATAAGTGGCACAGTAATCATACTTGATTCTCTCACACTATAGGATGTCAGTCAGGCGTGAGAACGGGTTTCATTGAAATTTAGACTGATATAATTTTTATGTGTCTCACCATCTTTGGAACAGATAATATTGGGTGGGAAAAAAAGGTTCAACTGTCAGTCCAAAAAGGTATAATGTGTAAAATTGGCACGGGATACTGAATGGGAACTAGTTTATGAACAAAGTGCTGAAAATCTCGAAAACTATACGATATGTGTACAATTTTTCAGAAATACTCAAAATTAAAATGATATTGGAAACAGATCTTGAACAATTAATCGGAATATCACAAACATGTTCGTTATACGATAAAAGCCCTTTAGAGATCCTTTTATCTCTTGTTTTCACCGAAAAGTCGCCAATTTCGTCCGTCGCTTTAGGCGTCTGTGAGCGTAATGCGGTATAATGAGAAATAGCATAAT